AGGAGGATGAGGAGGCAACAGAATCCAACCGCTTCAACCCATCCACAGTTGTATTTTCTATAACTGGCAACGTTTTCAAACTTTTCCTAGAGGAATGGCAGGTACACCAATCACTACTACATCCTCATCACACCCATCCACTACCAGGCTGATTTCGTTTAAAACGCCAAGTCTCTTGGGTTGTTCCATAAGTTTGTGCAGTTTTCAATTACTTAAAATTTTAGGGTATTCTTTTATAATATCCACAAAATTAATAAATTATGTATTCCTCTTTTGTTGTTCACAATTTACTTCCAGCCTTCAGGCAGTTTTCCAACCCAGCACCCGAAGAAGCCCGCTGGTTTTGACGCAGTCATCGATATAATTTTGAAGATCCGCGTCGAAATTGAAGGATACTCCGGTCAAATTATTTTCGAGTAACCAAAAAAGATAGTAATCTGGAGAGAATGGCGGGTGCAAAAACCTCCAAGCCAAGCTTCTCAACGACATTTTGGTGAATTATGCGACATGAGGCCTGGCGTTGTCATGCGGCAAAGCCACGCCATTTCGAAGATTTGGGCGTTTCCGTTAAATTGCTTTATCTACCGAGCGAAGCCGTTGACCGTAATGATCTGAATTAATGGTATGTTTCCTTTCAAGGAACTCATAATAGATAACTTCCTGCATTTCCCAGCAGACACGCGAGGATGAAGATCAGGTTTGGTTTGAGGTGTAGCTTGGGACTTTCCCTTGTTTCATATTCAAGTATAAGCATTTCATTGCCAGTAATAATAAACCTCTAAGGTGGATTGCGGTGTTCACGGGCGAGGCGATGTCAGGCCAATAACTAGGTAAAAATAAACTCGAATAAAAGCTGTTGGGAATAATCATTTTCACCGATCCGGCGCGTACTTTTATTTCGGCTGTAAATAATGAAAAGTTGATTTAACTTAAACAAAATGGCAAATAAATTCTACAGGCGTTTAGCTAGACCAAAAAAATGACCCACAAGACGAATACGTCAAACAAATTATAGCATGATAACTTCCCAACAAGCTGAAAGTTCATGATCTTATGGATGAGATTTTGGATGATTTCCTCAAACCACAACAACCTCATTCTTTCTCTAAAAAAGGCATCCGATACCGCATTCAGATAGTCATCACTTTCAGATCACTCTTGTCGGCCCCTACTACCCAATCAATGTAAAGATCACTTCCTCGAACGAGTATTACTATTCTGCGGTAGTTATTCCCACTCGCGCTTTGAGAGAAAGGAGCTCTAACGATATGGAATAAAAAAGCTGTAGAGGATGGCAAATTAACAGTTCTAATGTTTCACCTAATCACAGCTTGTGCAGCGGCTTACTTCGCATTGAGAATTCAGATATTCGTTTGCTCCCAAAAAGCCCACCTATACCTGGAAATAATAGACCTATGACGATTAAATGATTTAATGACGTCAAATATATCAAAATGACTTTTCGACCGCTGCATAACGTGTGTAACCCCGCGACACATTCAAGTCCGACGAGGCCGAAATTCTCGCAAATGGTGACAGCCGCGTAAGTCGTGAGTTGCTTGAGTCATGGTTTACTGGCCCCCAGTCAATTAACAAGTGCAATGATCCCTCCCTTCCACATTCAACGTTGAGATTTTACCTGGACAGAGTAGTTAACCCCGCGGGGAGCGAACCGTTAATTTTAGTCCGTACGCGGTGGCATAGCGACTGCATCCTATAAACACTACAACCCCTTGTGCATGAACCATCCCCCATCTGCTATTCTCCCTGCTGATGGGTTCGAGCAGGAATCCGAAATGCCAGGCGAATAAAGTTGTTCCAACGATCACCTCTATTTCTTCTCAGCCGCTTCCCGCTTCACTGAAGTTAGCTACTACTCAGGTAACTTATGGCCGACTTCGCACATGTTCGGAGGTTTGATGACCCAGGTCAGTTTGTTATGACCCGTAAACGTCGTATACTGATAAAAATTAAAAAAACCCGGTCGCCTAATGAGTTGCGTTGTTTCCTTATTTTTCATAAACAAGCCTTCACTGCCCTTACTGGTCGTAAGTTTAGACTATGGAGCTTCATCGACTCGTTAAAACAAATATTCAGTCAAGCTGACTTACCTGGGAACCTGGACTGTCAGCTGTACAGACATAATGTGCGCGCGATACTTCGGGGCCATCGACGTATCAAGGCAGGAGAGCTGGCCACTTTAACATTTGTACACGTAGCTGCCCCTAGGAATCTGATATTCGTTTTATCAAGCACTCCGCTCTATCTGCACTTTTAGTGTCCCTTGACTAGGTACTACGATGGATCACGAAATTAAGCTCTAGGATCCAGTGTTTGATTCTAAGCGATGCAGCCATTAGTATAAGGCGCATCATTGTCACCCAAAACTTCTAAGACTTCTTCGTACCTTAAATGGAGGTCGGGCACGGGAATATGGACCGCCAGTTCTACAGGTAACCCTGCGCTAAACTCTAGGGG